GGCTTCATAATAGCCATGTTTGAATCCAAGAAAAAGAATTCAGACTCATGATCAGAGAGACAGGAAAGAAAAACACATCTAGGTCATAGCAGCAAATTCAACTGATAAACAGAGAACATACATTTCCAGAAGGGCCAATATAACCTTTCCACACACTACCAACATCACTCTCAGGTCTTCACTGGATTGAGATAGAGTCACATTCACTTTTATCCATACCACAGTCACTGCTGCACATGGAGAAACAGATCTAGAGACACATTCTGGAACAATCAAAATGGAAAAATAGCTGAATGTTATCAGCAAACTGAAGACATATCAAGTCATTCCTCCACATGAGGGTGAGAATGTGAGACCTATGCCATACAAGTGGCAGCAGGACAAAAAAGCAACTACCTAAAATTACTTTCTGGAATCACTCAGAAAAAAACAACACCCATTTCCTTAGCTGCAGGCCCAAACAGGAGTAACTACAAGTACACAATCAATGGTCAGAGCTGTATTCACGGGAATTCCCAATCATTAGTGCAATCCTGTAATAAGAACTTAATCACTCTGATTCCTGTCTAGCTGCATTAAACTTCTATCACTGCTCAACATCTTGCCACATCCTCCTAATCTTAACCAAAAACGGAAGATTAGAAACAGACCTACTGCTGGTTAGATTGTCAGAGTGAAGATGTTTCTTGTTCAAAGTTCAAATGTCCATTTCCTTACAAAAGCTTGCACCATGCTTTTTTTAAAGGCCCTGTTAGCCAATTCTACCAGAAAATGTCTTAGTACTTCAATACAACTTGTAAGGGCACAAATCCAAAGCAAAGATTGAGGAACAAAGTTCTCCTGAACTTTAATAAGCAACACTGGCTCATTGACTCAAAGAAAAAATATTGTGCTCTACAACTAACTACAGCACTGGGCAACTTAGTTCGAATCTATTTTCACTATAAAATAACAATAAAATTTCTCAGAACAGGAAGTACTTGAATCAGCCCCTGAAAGAACAGCCTGTATGAAGCAAGCAATGGATGAAGCAAGCACCTGTGAAATAAATCAATTTGAGATATTAACTGATGCTGTGGTGAAGGCAAAGAATCCCTTCTGTTGAAGTCCTGCCCAAAGAGGGCACCATACCTTAAAAAATATTTACATTGTCACTGGTCATCAGCAGCAGCCCAGGACTCCACCTGCACCATTCTAGCCATCCACTCTCTATATAAATAACAATTACAAAATACCACCAATACTTTTGCTACTGAAAACAAAAACTAACAACACCTCTCCAAATATGTTCTTATAAGAATTTTCAGCTAATCCTTCTCTCCCCCAGCTCCTCCCCTCCACACACCGATATCTTCACTAAGTTCTCTCTCATATCATTTCTTCAAAATAATGAGCATTTCTACCTAGAACTCTGCATTGGTAAGAAGATGTATGTTAAGTCAGATGCCCAGAAGTAAATATGTCAGGGCCTTTTACTGAAGTAGTCATTCTCACAGCATTAATGTTGTACCCAGACTATAGTTTCTACAAGAGGTACTTACTGCCCCCCTTTCCACCCTAGGTGGCATTCGTGGGAGCTGA